TTTCGATTGAAGGTGAGAAACGAAGATCTTCTCAATTAATATATATACACAAGAATAGCAAAAAAATTTCCAAACCCTTTCTAGCACTGGTCACTTACAATTAAGACTAATAATAACAAGAAAAATTTAAATTCCTGAAAGTTAATTTTATGTGAGTATGTCTTCAACACTTACAATCATTGAAGAATCACTATTGTGTTTTATAGTAACAAAAAAAGCACCAAAATCCTTAAAAACTAGTTTATTTGGATATAATTCGTAAACGCGGACTTCTGGTGGAAAGTGAATGAATTAAACACACAGTAAGCAATTAACTGGTTTTAATTTATTTTTAATTTCTTCTGTGTTCTTCCCTATTTAATAACAATTGTTCAAATGTTTGAAATATCCCTGCTCTTATCTTACTAAATATTAATCTGTGATCTCGCTTACGTATAGCTATTTTTTCATCTTACTTTGTAAAAAAATAAAGAATTATATATTAATGATGATCATTGCTAAAAACCCTGGTAACGCAAGTTCCAATTTGTAAACTACGTATAATCTCTATTTTAAATATTATATTTTATCTCTTTTAAGCAGATTAACGTAGGTAAGACTAAAGGTTTTACATAAATTTATAACAATAAAAAGGCTGAGATGAAAAAAGAGCTATAGTAAATGCGATGTAGTAGCAAAATAATACGATAGTAAATAATCATTCCTTTCAGAGTTCATTGTTTTGTTAATTTTTTAAGCAGATAAGTTTGGGGACAATATATCTATAAGTTAAAAAATATAATCACATTACAGCTAGTTACATTACGACAATTGCGCCGGCCAGGTGGCCAAGCTGTTAACGCGCCTGACTGCGAAGTCAATGGCTGCGGGTTCGAATCCCGCTCTGGGCATGGATGTTTCTCTCTCTTGTGTTGTCCTTTGTTGTGTGTGATGTGTGAATATGACCCTATGAACGNCCACAAATTTCATTTTAGACGATCCGATATTACTTACTGACATTCTTTTCGTTCGTTTCCAATGATTTCGAAATATGAATAAAACATGGTCTCATTGTGAGATAAAGTTTCAGCTGCATTCCAGACTTCAACTAGGAAATGGTACCCCAACATACAATCGAGTTAACATGTCTTATATACTAGTGAATTGTAGTTGTAATTTTGTAGTGGTAGACGCACAACAGCATGTTAGATTGCAACATAAAATTAATTTACAGTTTTTTTTTCCTTCCATTTACAAGCTAACAACCTTTAACACGATCTATCAAGATATTTTTCTCTTTAAATCGAAAAAGAATGATAAAGGAAAAATTTATTCCCTTTTTAGACGAATTTGTGACCAGTTTATTTCTTTTCTGTCAATTTTTTTTTTAGAATACCCTATACTTTGTATATAATCTTATTTATATGTCACATATTATCTAACGCATAAATTATTCATTATCTTAATTAGGCATTATACGTGTTCTTATAAATTTATGTACATTTCATTTTTCAGATAAATTATTAATAAAATATTTTAGCATCTAGTAAAACTACTGCCATATTTTTTTAATTAATTAAAAGTGATCTATTTTACTTGAATACAATCTGCAAGAAAAGCATTTTTTTTTCTTTTTTATTTGGCACCCAACGCATTTCTTCCAAAATATTTCTTCCCTCAAGCTTGTGATTGCTGAACCATGAAATAACATCCTCATGAAAGAAATGAAACAAAAAATATCAACTGCTCTGTAAGGATTTGGGACAATGACTTTTGATTACATTCAAAAAACGGCCCACGCAAAGAGGCATGCATGTAAATTTTTCGAACAAAATAGTAAACAAAACAGAATCTGCATTCCTTATCCGTTTTCCGATGTTTTCACTCTGGTGAACTTCTCCTGTTGTTTTATTTTTCTGGGAGTAACGTGGCCAAGAATATCAAATCTCACTTTGGTGGAAATGGAATATTTCAAGGAAAAGGTAATGAAAGCATGAAGATATCGAAAACAAATATTTACAAATAGTACAATTGAATAAATGTATATGCAGAAGATGGAATTTATTAAATAATGTCTATATCTACATTGTTTTAAGCAATTTTAAAATAAATATTGTTGTAAGAATATTGTAAATGTCACTAATTGTTTCAATATAAAGTGCGGCTATTTTGCTTAGAAACGTATTTCAAGTTTCGGAATTAGTAATGCATGGTAAAAATATCACTTTTTTATAATATTAATGTTCCTAAATAAATAACGGATAAAGTATCTCTGTAATTCACATGTTTTAAAAATTGAGAGTAGCTCTTACATTAAAAGCTTTATGATATTAACTATCTATGATATTAACTATCAAATTTAATAATAAAATAACCGATTGCTTTTAATACATTCTTTAAATAGTTATCGAGAATTCTTTTCAATGAGTTCCATGTTCTTGTTCACACCTTTTTTTTAAAAAAAATATTTTTAAAGTATATTTATACTTTTAAAAAGGGGTTATAGACAAATTATAAGGCATTTACATTAATTTGTAACAAATCTTGTATTTTATCGATTTGTACAATGAACCTTTTCTAATCTTTTACTGATATAATTTATATTTCAATACAGTGGCTAGAAATACACAGGGATTACCATCAATATATAATAAATCTATATGCTTCCAAGATTTAAAAACCGATATTGCACTACCAATAATCCAAGGATAGACCTACAATTAAGGTAATTAAATCTATTTGGAAGAAAAATAAAATTGTTTGTTTGTTGATCAAGAAAAAGATTAATGCAATAACACGTGTTTCCTTTATAAAAGTAGAACAGATTAAATTAGAGATTGATTAATGCTCATATTTAAGTATAATTGAATTATTAATTATAATTAGAAGCATAATTATTTTTAAATAACATGACTTTAAACAATGATATATTTCACAATGATTTTAATCCATTGCAAAATCAAAGAGACTGAAAAAATAAGGCCCTATTTATTTTAATGGTTAAAAACTGAAATACTTATGATTAGAAAATATTTATGAATAAAAAATACTTATGAATAAAACATATTTATGAATAAAAAATATTATTTCTTACATTTGGTTACATACAACTTCATTTAAACAATATTTATGTTCATCTCAATGAGGTTATTCGCAATTATTTTTTCAATAAAGGAACCTCTCTGTATTTTATTTTTATTTTGATCAAACTCTATTTTAACAATATTTATGTTCATAAACTTAAATGATTTTTCACTATTTTTTTTCAATAAAGAAATTACTCTATCTTAGATATTTGGTAATATCCAGTTTAATTTTAATAATATTTATGTTTATAAACTTAATTGTTTTTTCACTATTATTTTTTTAATGAAACAATTATTATAACTTAGATATTTATCATCCTGTTCCACCTGAACAATATTTATGTTAATAACTTTAATTGATTTTTCCCAATTATTTTTTTAATAAAGAAATCACTCTATCTTAGATATCTGGAATTATCCAGTTCCATTTTAAAACATTTATGCTTATTTAATTTTTTATTATTATTTTTCCACTAAAAAATCACTCTATCTTATATATTAGGAGTTATCCAGTTCCATTTTAGCAATATTTATGTTCATAAACTTACTTTATTTTTCACTATTATTTTTTCAATAAAAGAAATCACCCTATTTTAAAACCATTATCCGCAAGCATAAGCACCAAATCAGCTAAAATGGAAGCAAATGAGCAGAACCCCAGCATTAACTCAACACCGGAATTTTCTCCTAGCAGCTAAATGGGGGATAAAATTACTAATGACGAGGAAAGAGGGCGGGGGCACGTGGCCCCACCTCTTGCGCGTTAATGACCAAGTATGTAACTAATCCTCTGTAGTGTGTCTTTAAATGACCTCCCTTAATCACATACTGCACAAACCTCTCATTACAGAGAAGAATGAAAAATTATTTCGAAACTTAGAAAAATTTGTCTAACTACTTTGATAATAAGAAGATATTCGCCAACATGAAATTCATTAGGAAAAGCCTGTTCCTTTTATTTTTAGAAAAAGAGTAAATGAGTTAAAATTAAGCATGCATTTCCCTGATAAAATTTTCTAAAATGGAAGCGTAAAACAAATGAATAAATATATTTAGCGTAATAAAAGAAATATTTCTGTCTTCATATTTTACGGTTTGAAATCCGATGATTCACAAATTTTCAATCACTTTTGTAAATTTGATTTCTAGCACAATACTCAAATTTAAATATTTTTACCTTACGCCTTACGTAAATTTTAATGTGTTTTAATCCTTGTCTTGAGTAAAATTTAATGTGTTAAAAAATTGAAATTTTATATGTTAAAATGAAGAACTTCAAAACATGGATCATTGTATGTCATTGAGCTGATTTGTTTTATTTGTGGAAAGCGCAAAATAAAATTAATTGTAATTCATCCTTTAAAATGTATGTTTCATACAAAATGTACTTTGAATTATTCACTTATCTAAGCATATAAATGTATTACAAGTAGGAAATCGTCCTAAATCACTCACCATGTTTTATAATGATTCCATATTGCATATTAGAATGAATATATCTATAAAAAATGAAGATTTTTAATGTCAAAATGATTTTTTTTCAAGAAAAAAGAAATTATGTGTCGGAGAATTGAATTTTAATTCATACAATACCCGCTGTAAAAGAAAACTTTATTCAAATACCTCCACTAAAATACTATTTTATGTGATATTCCATATGCCTTTGCGTTTATATTGTACATATGCTTTCATATTATACACATATCTTAAGCATATAATTCATGGATAATTTTATAAAATCCTGCACAAATTTTTATACAGGATTCCCTGTTTTGTATTAGGTTACAAGTTTAAATAAATTTTTTTCATACGTTGATTTGTTTTAAAGGCAATTTGAGACTGATAATAAACCAGTGTGATTTAAAATTATATCAAAAATAAGACTTTGATTCAAAAACTCAGATTGTAAATACAAATTGTACTTTTTTATTTCAGAACCACATGCCTCAACCCTTCCGAGAGTAACATTCAGCCAATCACAGGTCAGGACAGAAGAGGGATCATTTGCTCAACTGCCTTGCGTTGCACAAGGAAACCCACCCCCAACATATAGGTAAAACAGTTTCAGTGAGAAAGGCAATTTAAATAAAATAAATGATAAGAAGCATACAATTAAAAACAATAATAATAATGTATGTAATTACAACTTAGTTCAAGAACTCACTACAGAAACATTTTTTTGTTGGCATTGCATTTTTATTATATGCACAAAAACATAAGTAACGCACCTTTCTTTCTCATTTAGATCACGTTTATTATGATGCCACATTTCATTACAACTCTGTAAATTTCGTAATAAAATAATTGTTAAACACTATTTCCTGGAAATGGCAGATTGCTATTCATTAGTTCAAGGTTTATTGTTCAACAATAATAGTTCAATTAGTTCTTTCTTTCTACTGCATTCTAAACATGGTCAGTGACAGTTATAAGGTGACCATAAGAATACGCGTCTGTTCGTAAATTATTACTTGAGAAATTTATGGAAACTGACCATAAACTAACGTTATGCTCGTAAAAATTTACTTCAATTCGGACATTGACGCTGTTTAACACTCAGACGATTTATTTGACGAATTAAGGTGAACCATGGAACGAGCCGAATTAGTATCGTGATGCTATTTATCGAGAATGGAAGGAATTACGTGTTCGCTGTAAGTGGTTTCTAGGGGGATTGTGAGATAAATATTCTTTGTCATCGGTTGGGATCAAACCCTTATGTTAGATTACCCTAATTTCCTCAGTACTTCAAGCACTATGAAAAATGGAATACACTCCGAAATTAAGTTAGAAAACTATAAAAAATTATAATTAATCAAAAAATATCGATCAATTCCCTTAATTTTGCTAAAGATTGTTACAATTACGAACACAGGGATTTTTCTCGAATAAGGGTAAGTAGGTTGGTACTTTATTTACATCGCCCTTGAGTTGCACAATGAGCTATTTACAGTGGTCTGGGAAACATCCCTGAGGATAATCCGAAGACATACCATTGCAATTTTGATCCTCTGCAGAGAGGATGCCTCCCCTGCTTTGGTTTCCCGGCGACATGAAGTCCTGCACTTTTCTGTAGAACAGTTTAATGGGGACCGATACCGTGAGTCCTCAGTCCCTACCCAGGCTGATCAAAGTGGTCACCCACCCATTTAATGACCGCAACCAGTGATGCTTGACTTCGGTGTTCTACTGAGAGCCGTATCTTTACGATCAGTTAACTGCGGGATTTCAAATAAGGGAATACAAATAATAAAGGAATACAAATAAATGGTCAAATCTCCAAATGATACGGAAATTTCCTTGAGTCTAATGTAAGTCATATTTTTCTAGGCTTGCCTCAATAGACATCCCATTATGAGTGGTGCTCCTTAACGGTTTCGTTGTATTTGTAAATATTTGCTTCAATATTCCATTTCCGGAAAACTTGTTCAATCGGTTCTATTGAGTTACGAGATCTGATTGTTCTTGTTTAAGGAGGAAAATTCTACCTATGTATATTAAAGTGTGCCAAGTGGTCTGTGTTTTGATGTTGAACAGAATTGAGGCAAATACTTGTGCTTTGGCTTATGGTCGATTAACAGTTAAAACCAATATATCATAAGATGAAGAACAAAATCAAACTTTGTCTATTATGTGTAACTCAAACCATGACTAAAGCTATTTATTTTTTTAAGTTTTTCTAAAACTGTTATTATCTAAAACTGTTTTGCAATATTTCATTTTTATTGGCTTCCAATCGTTATAAAATTAGTTTAAACGATATTTTTGTTTCTTATTTATGCATTATTATTCTAAACTTTCTTAATATTCTGGCATTGTAATAAATATTCTGGCTCTGGGATGTCATTGCAGTATGTTAAACAATAGAGTTTTCACTCCTGAATATAGGAAGTTAAAACGACAACGTGAGGAAATGTACTCATCCCAGCATTGTCTTAATAAGATACTAATTTAGGAATGCTCCAAATAGTTCAAAAATAGCTTTTTTGCCTCTCTTATTTACTGCACCAACTTACATTTACTTTCAAATTTCTTCATTTTTGCAATAAACCTGAAAATTGTGCGTCTATATGTTAATATATAAGGTGCACATTCTTTTGAAAGATATTTTTTCAACAATTTTTTAAAAAAAATATTCCAATCATTTCCTTAATAATAAAATTTTATTTTCGAATAGATGGATGAAAGACACTTCTGGTGTTCTGAAACCCCTCGAGGAAGATGTTCGAATCTGGGTAAATCAAGGAACACTTAACATAAAGAAAGTTCAAGATACCGATGGTGGAAAATATCAGTGTATAGTACGAAACAGTATCGGTGAAAGACGAATTGAAAGTGTTCTTGTCGTAACAGGTAAAATATTTATAAAATTATTAGTTTTAAGTTATAAAATGTTATATACTAAGGCAGGAAAAATTGGATTTTTGCATCTATGAATGGGAAATTTATTATAACTGATTTTAGTTCATGCAGTTTTGTAAATGTACTCCATGGCAATTGCTAAGGAACAACTGCTTTAAGGCCATGGTAGAGCAGTATCTCTTCATTCATTCAAAAATACAATCTGTTAGGCATTTGAACGAAATTGCACCGTAGGTTATTGAAATTATTTCTGAGTGTTCAATGTGGTGTTGCAATAATTGAGTGCAAAATGTTAGCAATATATCATTCGAGTTCTCACCACTGTGACTCAGTAACGGGAGTGTCATAAAGTGTCATCTCACGATTTAAAAACACCACTGAAGGTCTAATTGCTTTGTGATAGCATGCCGGAAGTTTTTGTTGGAACATCACACCTCAAGAGGAATGATGTGTATCTCCAATAGCGAAAAGGAACAACAATGTTATTCTGAGATACATAGCTACAGTGCTTACAACCACTACCATTAGACACCTTACAACTAGACCACTACCTTAAAATAAATCATAGATCATTCAGTTTTCTCAAATACTTTCGATAGCATCGATGATATTTGAATAATTATAACTCTAAACAAGAAGGGTGTCCATTGCGCTTTCTGTTATATTTTATTACTTTTAATTTGTTATGCCAGGCTATTTGAATGTTCAACGCGATCGTGAAGTATGACGTCACCAAATTAGTATTGCTGAGGTTATTCGAAAAAACGTGATTATTTTGTTTATAATTAAGCTTTTAAAATGCGTTATTAAAAAAATTTTATAATTTTAAATCAATGGTAAATGAAAGAAAAAAAAAGTTTCGTACTAATAAGCAAAGATAATGGAGAGTTGGAACTAATTCTTTAAGGATAAACAGAAAAAAATGCAAATAATGTTATTAACGTCAATTAGAATTAATTTTCTTAATAGTTAATAAATGAAGTAAAAAATAAGCAGTGCTCTAAAAAGCAAACTTTTTAAGGAAATGTAACTAATTCATGTAAGAGAGCTTAAGAAATTCACAAACTAATATTAAAGTCAATGATTATTAATTGGGCCGTGATGGCTCAGGGGATAGAGCCTTCGTCTTCCAATTAAGTGAACCGGGTTCAAATACCAGTGATGGCTGGTCTATACGAATTCCTCATCCGGCTTGCACCTTCCACAGTGCTGACGTAAAATATTCTCAGTGGTAGACGGATCATGGGGTTAGAGTTCCCTTGTTGTCAGGCTAACCGTGGAAGAGCTTTTCGTGGTTAATTCCATCAAAATGCTGGTTAATTTCCTAAACAAATCCTCCACGAAGGCATATTTCTATCAATACTTGATCCAAAAGCCGGGATAGCCTGGACGGTAGGGGTGCTGGGCCCATGTCCAAGAGTTCTTGGGTTCGATCCCCTCCGGACGAAGAATCCCTTTGTAGTGACACATGCTGAATCTGTCGAGTCTCAAAGTCTTACATGTTCCCATAACAAATCAATACCCCTGGGGTTACTGATCCAGGAGATTCCTTGTCTTCTTTATTGCTTTAAAATTACAAGGTTACGGAGTTACACATTAGTAGTCGTAAACCTAAAAATTGGGTCGGCTGTTCAACGGCGGATATAAAATAAAATAAAATACTTGATCCAGGAGTTCATTTGTCTTCTGTATTGGGTTGAGCAATATATAATGGGCACAAATGATACTAAATTTGTAGGCACTACTGGCCTCATGGTGATTGGTGCCGCTTTAATAGATAACAAATGTACTCTTATATAGGTAAAAAGTATTTTCTGAGTAAATTTGACACCGATTACAGCTGCACCAATACTGTACATTTTTGTGATAGATTTTGTACGCCCCGATTAATTAAAAATAAAATATATTTCGAATGAAAGTAAATTAAAATAATAAATCTGTCGAAATATTATTCCAATCTAACAATCACACTCCTAAATGTTGGAAAATACAATATAAGAATAACCTGTATAATGTCTCTCACATCACGGTAAAACAAATCTGGAAAAGAACACAAAAGAAATGTAGGAAACCCATTAGACTTCAATTTAACAGTAGTAAAGTCATAAGCAGAATATATGTAGTAAACAGCAAAAATTGTGATGCAATGTGAACTATCCATTAGCCCTCAGACGGAAACAACGTCTCGACATTCTTCGTGTAGGTAAATCAATTCTGTCATGTTCTTTGTTTGGAAAACTGCATAAAGGTTAGAAATTTTATTTACAATTTGTCTATCTGTGCATGTTGCAGAGAAAATATTAATTTAGTTAAATATAATTTATTTGCATTTTTATGGGCTTTTAAGAAACTTGAAATACAAATTCCATTAAAAGAGTTTTTTTGACTTACATTAGTGTTCTTATCTCTTTCATCAATATAAACAAAAATATCGATTATTTAATCAGGCTAAGAAGATAATGCTCGAGTTCAGTATAAGTGTCAAATTTTAATATTGAAACCACAGCTCCAACTAAAGAACGTAAAACATTTTCTAAAACATTTAAAGTTAAAAAATTTTAAGTAATCATTTAAAGTCAAACATGGATGGGGAACAATTCGTGCTAAGTATAAATAAATAAAAAAACGAGAAAAGACACAGTTAAAGATATGTAAATAGACATTCTAATAGTTTCGGTTCTATAAGCATTAAACTTTCACAAAATCTACATAGAAATTGATAAAGGAAAATTACATAAAACAACGCGTTGCAATGAGAAAAAAAAAATTAACTTTAAGAAGAAGAACAAGTTTGTAAGGTAATATAAAAAGGGATAAAAAACAGGTGAGAGGAGGTTGAGTAGAATCTACAATATTCAAAATGTATAATATAAACCAAATTTCCAATTGTTTGGAAAGAAAGTATATTTTTCTTAGCTTTGGAAATCTTTACCAATGTTTGCAAACATTTTATTTTATCTTATAACCGCCGTTGAACAGCCGACTCAATTTAGAGAGTTTACGACTACTAATGTTCATCTCCGTCGCTTTGTAATTTTGAACCTAATCCAGAAGACTCATGGATCAAGTATTATGAGAAATTTGTCTTAATGGAGGACTTTTTGATGGAGCTAACCAACTTTTACGTTACCTGGTGGGAAATTCACGAAAACTTCCATGGTCAGGCAGACAGCAAGGGGAATCTGACCTATGATCCGTCTACCACTGAGGATATTTTACGTCAGCACTGTGGTCGGTAAAAGCCGGGTGTGGAATTCGTATCGACCAGTCATCACTAGGATTCGAGCTCGGTGTGCCTCTTTGGGGAGAGAGCGCTCTGTCCCCTGAGCCAATAACATTTCTCATTGTTTGGAGATCCATTATAATTTAATTAATATGTCTTACAATCTAGAATTTACACCACCCACCCTCACACTGCCATTCTTTTATCATCTAGTACATTCATGTCATCCTTACTCTAATGATTAAACCATTTTTTTGNACATATATAGGGTTGGGGACCCCTGATCTAGTACATTCATGTCATCCTTACTCTAATGATTAAACCATTTTTTTGCCAAAAAATGTGCTGGTTTTGTTACATTTCTACTGGCACTTTGTGTAAACACAAAATGCCTGTGCAAAATGGCATTGGCTAAGGCTCTTGCTTTTACTTAAACTAGAATATGTCCAATCCTGTACTTTTATTTACTTTTTACTTCTGAAATCATTGCTTTTCTCTCAGCTTTACGGCTAACTTCAGCATTGCCTACCCAAAAATATTGCCTTTTCTAGCACAGTAAGAACATTTTGAGCCAGTTTGGTGATTTTGATTGTGATTCTGGTCCCATTTTAAATTTCAACAGGCATAACTAATTTATCTCTATAAGAATATGTTTGATATTTTGTTTACTGGGTCTCTGTGTTGGGAACTCTAACATTGATTTAGCCGATTCCACAGCTTTATCTGCCTGTACTACCTCTATCTGTATCATTTCCAGGCATGAAATTGCGTATTCTTGATTAAATTATTTCTTTATTACAACAGCAGTTCAAATGAATAACAAATTACACTCTTTTAATCAGATTATAGCCCTTATCCTGCATTGCATCTATGCATGCAGACCCATCACCTAGTTGAGCACTTTTGATTGACTCATATTTATTTGCCATTTAGATAACCTCCCGTTTTCAGTAGTTCTAAAGTTTTACTCTCTATTCATCATACTTTAATTATTTGCCATTTTCTAACCAACACAGTCTTAAATTTTAGGCAGTACTTCTTTTATCATTTGAAAATTTTTTAGGCGAAATCTATCATCTTAACATTTTTGTGTGTCTCTGCGTAGACGGTACTTTAATTTTAAGTAACTGTTTTTTTTTTTTTTTTTTTTTTTTTTTTTTTTTTTTTTTTTTTTTTTTTTTTTTTTTTNTTTTTTTTTTTTTTTTTTTTTTTTTTTTTTTTTTTTTTTTTGTATTTGCAATTTTTGCTTATTTTATTAACATTTGAATGCGCTTGTTTTGTCTTTCAACGTTTCATCAATCTCATGTTTTTTAATAAACATCTTACTGCTCGCACATATTTCATCAGAAATACAAATTTTACTCCTGATTTGTTTTAAAGCAGTTTGTTTATCACAGAATGTTATCCTTTTAATTATCAAACCCTACGTTTAACTCAACTTATACCTTTATTTGTGCTTCATTCCTATTTTTTTCTTGCTTTATTTTTCACTTTGAACATTTACGGCTAACAAATCGATATTTTAGCTAAGGAATTACTTAAATTAGTTTACCAAGTATGGCATAAAACAATACTACCAGTCATGTTTGAAGACATTGATTGAAAAAAAAAGTTATTGCTATAGTATGATTATCTAAGGAAATTCATATGATACGGAGTTTAGGTTTGACTGCTGCTATGGATTCAAGAAGAAGCACATATTTAGAGAAGGAAGCTTTCTATATTTTTCCCACTGACCCCATTCGAAACTTGTCCCTAGTGTTTTCCCGAACCATTAGGTGATATAGTTCTACCTCTCAGTCAATAACAGTGCTCTAGTAGATTGGTGCGAGAAGTTCTTACTATAGACAGAGTATACTTTTATTTTCTATAATGTGTATAGATAATTTATGCTTTGTTTCAAGAAATTTCGCATAGTTTTGTTATCGCATAGTTTTAAAATACCATAGTTTTGTTATGTCTCAGTGACTAAATACTTTTTTTAGCTCCCCTCATTGTCACCATGAGACCTCCAAGACAGGTGCTAAATATTGGACAGGAGGCCACCTTTAATTGCAATACGACAGGGTATCCTGTGCATACGATCACTTGGAAGAAGGACCAAAGGCAACTCGTTTCCTCAAACAGAGTCAGACTTCTCTCCAGAGATGTACTTCTCATAACGTCAGTAAGAAGAGATGACAGAGGGATGTATCAGTGTTTTGTTTACAATGACCTAGATGGCGCTCAAGGAACATCAGAGCTTAAAATTTCAGGTAGGTCTTAAAATTCAAAAGTAAATCCTACTTTTTTGCCACAATATATTATCTCTCAAGATCTTTTTTATAATAAGGTATGGTAAGATTGTAACGCCTCTTTAGTATGGCAGTAATGAGACAAATGTATGTAATTGATCATTCTTATGAGCATCTTGTATGCATAAACGTTAAGCGATTGTTTGTTTAACACTCATTTGTGAAAATATTTTAAAAGGAATGTACCATACTATTTTCAAAAGCAAAGGGCGTTTTAGTGGTGCAGTCGGTAAAAATGTAGTTCACTCCACTGGTGTAGAGGTCAGGGGTAGCAGACAGAACAAAGGACATGTATTGCAAAGCGCACGTTTAATCTGCCGTGCTTGAAACTCTTCTTCTTCTTTGTGGTGAGGAACTTTGGAGAAAGTGGTAACAGCTCAGATGTTGTCCACGCGCGTCATCTAACAATGATTAAAATTAATATTTATTCTTAGAATGGTTTTTATGAGATAAATCATACAATTGGGACCAGGATTTGGCCATGGCAGGATGAACTTTTCATATGCAGAGTGTTCAAAAAGAGATTAAAAAATACATCAAAAAATGATAAAATGCATCAGAAGGGTGATAAAAGCCATCAAGAGTATGAAAGCTTGCCATAAAACATGAGGTAGCAAATCACATTGAGAGTTGAACATAGAGGTCATGCAGCGGATTCTACGAGATCTGTCCAAATTCTGGGGTAAGATATATCGAAGTGATTAAGGTATGAATGTCCATGGTGCTTCAAAGCAAAGACCTTTAAAGAGCTTAATTTCGATAGGGCAGTCCTCAACTGACCTCCATCTTTCGTCTCGTTTTTATTTATTGCCTGAATGCGTTTTTTGCTATTCTCAGTTCCTCAATGTACTTGATGACCTAGAGTTTTTTGGCTAAGTTTCTGTCCTTATGATGCTTTCATCACCCTCTTAATTTGTCGTTCAGGCTTTGGAACAATCTGTACAACATTAGAAATAATATTTTTTTAAATATTTTATGTTCTCCCGATTCAACATCAGATAACGTCAGAAAAATCAATTACTTCTCTACATCAATACCTTTCGATTAAGTCTAAGCCATTTTTCAAAACATATAACTAGCTCAATGAGAGTATTTGGCGAGCATATTTATAAAAAAACCGTAAAACGCAGATATTAAAGATGTATAATGCCTGTAAACTGTAGGCATTGTAAATCATTTCTTCTATAACCTATAACTATTTTTGAGAAAAAAAACAGGCAAATACTACATACAAATAATTTATCTCATTATGTTAATACATTTATAACCAAAACTGTTCAAACACATGACCCAACATATACCTAATGAAATTTTTTGCAGTTCGTCCAAAAAAGTTATAAGATGTTCCTCATGTACAAACATATCATTAAATCATGTTCAAACACATCGTTGCATGCCGAATATATTGTTTCATTAAAATAAATTTATTTTATCAACAAGAAAAAATTTCCTGCTAAAATTTTGGCTCCATCTTGTTACTGTTATACTGATAAGAAAGGTGCTACGAGTTGGGATAAGAATGAAAATAAAATTTGTTCCAACTATTAGGTAACTACCTGTAAAGCGCATGTTGAAATATAATTACGTGTTTATCATTAAACGATCCTAAAGCAGCATGTTTTTCACCAAATCCACTATAGCACGGTATTAAAATGTTTCCGAGCTACTTTAGTTGGAACTATTATTAAAGTTACAATTCACATTTTGTGTCCAAATCGACATTCACACAATGGGTGTGGCTTTTATGGCCAAGTTACAAATCACGCGATTAGTCCATTTCTTTCTTTTTTATTCATAATTTCAATGATATGAGCATTTTACTCTATCTAATTCAACTATGGATTTAATAATATAAATAATATTAAACATTGCTTTCTTTTTGATAGGCAAATAAAATTAGAGATATGCTTAAGATTTTGCAGTGATGTAAAATCAAAATAAATCTCTTATTTAGGTTTACATATGTACTATATATTATGAAATATAAAAACTTTACCAACCAGGTTTTACTTTAACTATGGTGATAAGGACTTGTCAATGATATAGATCTGCAATTAAATTTTAAAATGAACTAATTTAACAGTTTGAACTTGCATTATTTTACTAAAAGTTTACTTAACAATTGAAATTCATTAGGCCATGAATAGGTAATAAAACTAGACCAAGTAAATGTACGTATAGGCGTTAGCTTAGACGAATTTAAATTTTACGAGAAATAAATTATTTTTAAAATGAGATAATGGAACGCATTAACTATTTCCGCATCTGAAATGTAAAATAATTCTAACTAATTTTGTTAATTAAATTAATCCTGTTTAATTAAATGAGTTAACTTTGTTTTAACTTAATTGGAAGATAATAAGACAAACAAAGTGAGGAAATCCCGAGATAATTTTGACCAAAACAAAGAATAGATTCGATGAAGAACGAAGAGTAAACAAAGAGTCCACAATGGCTAAATAATATCGTACTAGATAGATAATATCCTTCGCGCGAATGACACTCACCATTCCCAATTATATCTCCCAAAAACAAAATCAGTTTCAGTTTGAGAGAAAATGAAAGAGAACAAATTTTTCATAAAGGATACACTTTCATTTGTGAGCGATCATCCGGTATACACCTGAGAGATTTTTTTCTGTCTGCGTAAATTTTCAACTGCATATGGAATCATCAAGTATGACTGATTTGTATTCCTTTAATTTCTTAGTTACAGGTTGTCTTAAAGATTTTTACGAATTCATGAAATGTCAAGAAATATTTTGAATTCAGTACTTGCTTTTTAAATATTGATCCGTAGCTACGTTAAGGTATTAGGTATTATTAGCGACAGTCTTGGTATTCAAGGTGAGATCCGAAATCAAAACGGTTACATGCGAACAGTATATATATATATATATATATAAACTNTATATATATATAAAAAGTCAATTTTTTCTCATTGTGAACCACGAGGGTCATAGAGGTTGATGATCCACAATTTTAGAATGTCATCAGAATTACTGACAGGCTGAATTTATTTCCAAGACTGGCTGGACTTCAAAATGATTAAGGATCAAACCCTGGTCATTCGCATTTCATGAGTGCGTGCACATTTATATAAACTAACATACTTACAAATGCAGTTAAATCCAACATAAATATGCACTTTGTATATACGTAGATGATTTCACATATATGAGTTTTCCGTAACCCTGTACACGTTTGTAATAACTATTAAATTCTGCATACATCGTTGATAAAATACAATGAGCTTTTTAAAGTGCTTAAATCTAAACACATAATCGCATTAATACACACTTTATTCAAATTAACATAACTAATATCACACACAATTTTTCACGACGACAATTCTACCTCTTCCAGTTCATATTGCAATATATCATAAATTATGAACATATATGCATTACAAATTACAATAAAAAAATATACCAAAAAAGTGTATTTAGTAGCTAAATTCAAATATTTAAGGGTTGATTTATCTGGGAATTTATTCGAAAATCGCTTCCGTCACACTGTTCCTTCCAATAAAACGATATTAGGGAAAGCAATCTTCTCAAAATTGATTACCAGAAACAATTGTTCTGTTGTCTAATTGTATTCGATTTCGTTAAATAGTGAAATACATGCGTTGGAAGAAATAAAAATGATTTGTTTTCTTCCTGTCATGTGAAACCTTCTGTGCTCATTAGCAATTGATGGGTAAATGCCTTCGGGTAAACGAATTGGTTAACAGTCCAATTAATCTTTTTTATATCGGAATCTGTGATTTCTTCAGTTAAATTATACCGTTGAATTTTATTATTTATTGGAGTGCTTATCTAATTGCATGGTTTATTAAAATAAATTAAAGGAAATAATGGGAGGAATCAAGACAGTTCCGTTTGTTATTTGAAATTTTTTTTTGCTCAATTTAAAATAAAATCGGCATCATATAATCTAATTCATAACCTCTAATCTGAATGACAAAATGATGAGCTAAAAATAAACGAAAGTAATAATTAATGAAGAAAAGGAAAAAATGAATGATGGCAGCAAATTTAAAATTTATCTTAAAATTTATCCTAGTAATTCACAAATTCGGGATATATATATATATATATATATATATATTATATATATAT